TTGAGCTGGATCTAATGGTAAAGTCTAAATCTATCTGTGACTACTAAATTACTTGTAAAAGCGATATAATAAATAAAGTACATTTAAGAAACTAACTATTTATAAAATACTAATAATAAAAATAATAAAATAAAATAATAATATAAAATAATTGAAACTCATTTTATAACAATACAACCAAACAGATTTTGAACTTCATTAGATTACAAATTATAACAATAATATTTTATAAGAAATTATCTTATAATCAGTAACTGAAATTTTTAATAATACAAATTTAGATATTACCTAATCTTAACTTTATATAATAAAATCTAATTATTTACTATTTCTTATCTTAATTATCTACAAACTTTTCTAATACTATTAGTTTAAATATCTTACTTAAAGGACTTTTACTATATACACTTACTCAAACAATTTGATTATATAATAACTTACTTCATATTGCTTCATAGCTAACTATTAAGTTATTTCTTAAACTTAACTCAAAAATTTATGAATAATTATAGATACTCTATTGTTATAAATATACAAATTAGAAGCAACAACATAATATTTATAGAGAATTCTAAAATAATGCCATAGTATTATAATGTCTCTGCATATAATTATCCAATCAGATTTAAAAATTAATTTTATATAAATATAAATTTATTTATTTTTGTTTTTAACGTTAATAAGAAAACTTATATATATATTTTAAAATAAAGAAATATGTATTAAAATAATGAAGAAATTTTAATAGATATATCTTAAAATAATGAAAAAATTTTAACAAATATATCTCAAAATAATGAAGAAACCAAAAGTTCTAAACTATTTATTGGCAAAACTTTTTTAACTTGAGATATATGTGATATATTTCTTTTAACTTAGTCTAAATAAAATAGATTTTATATAAAAAAAGATTATGTAGAATATGAAGATAGTATAATATGATATTATAGATACTTATGCAATCATAGTAGCATATATTATCCAAAATTAACTTCTAAAAAAACTAATTATCCATTTTGTATTACTGTATCATATTCTAAAAATAATAATCTAAGTTTATTTATTCATATTAATAAGATTATTAATGAGTATAATCATCAACAAAAATCTGATATGATACTTTTTGAAGAACAAAAAAAATTTACTCCAGAAATAATTGAAGATATAAAGTTTCTTACAACTCATTGTAAATTTAGAGCAACAGTTCAATAAAAATATTTAGAAAGAAAATATCCAGTATATTCAATTTATTTACAAGATTTATATAAAGCTATACAACAATTTCAGCCAACTACTAAATTATTATTAAGTGATGCATCTTCAATATCAAACTGGTTAGATATTCAAAAAGAAGCTAATTCATGTTAGGTGATTATTAGAGGCTAGGATAATGATAATACATTAACAAAATTATTTTGGATGACTTCTAAATAGATTGAAAATTGGATTCAATTTTCAGACTGTATTTTAAATGATGTAACTCATAAGACAAATTATTATGATATGGCACTCTCTTTATTTATAGAATTTAATTATTATAGATATAATATACTTCTTGCACAGGTACTTTTTTCTGATGAAAGTATGGAGTCATATTATTAGATATTTAATGAAATATCAAAAGCTACAAAGAGACAACCTGCAGTAATTATAACTGATGCAGACCCTGCAGTTAATGCTACTATTTATAAAGCATTTCTATTAAATTATCTAATTTTACATGAAGGATCAAGTTTATGATGACTAGACTCAATGCACAGAGCAGGCTATGAAACCCTCTGCAACCATGAAAACTAGATATACAGCGAGCGACTTTACAGAAGACATTCAAATTTCCTCAATTACTACTACTCCAACTCCTATTGAAGAAATAACAAATATATGTTACAATAAATTTCTAAATTACCACAATATACCTATACT